TATATATCGTCACAAACAGAACTGCCCGGTAAACCGTAGGCAGAGAGAGAGAAGAGGACAACAAACGAGGGGCTGTGACAAACTGTTTCGTCGGAGTTTCACCGACTCATATCGTCAAATATATATATATATATATGACGATATATATATATATATATATATATATATACGATACTCGTCGTATGCTTTCGCGTGGGCATTCCCCACCAACCCTTGCTAAGGGGTGGACCTGCTACATGCGCTCCTGCCAGCGTCGCTATCCTACACATGTGACGCGTCTCTCTCAGTGATTCCGACGCGTGTTGCGATGGTCCTTGTATCATCCAATTTCTTCTTCGCTCCCACGATGCTCTCGTCCTGCCCCTACTTACTCATCTGCTGCTACTGCAGTTTCCACTGCTGCAGTCTCTACTCCTGCAGTTTTCACTGCTGCAGTGTCCACTGTTGCCGTTTCCACTGTTGCAGTGTCCAGTTTTGCTTTTTCCATTGCTGCAGTGTCCAATGCTGCAGTATCCATTGCTCCCGTTTCCACTGCTTCAGTTTCCGCTGCTGCAGTTTCTACTGCTGCGGTTTCCACTGTTGCAGTTTTCAGAACAGCAGTTTCCCTAAGTGTAATTCCCCCTACTTTAGTTTTTACTGCTACATCTTCCTGTCTTGCAGCTCCAATGCAAAGAACATCACAATCTCTCCGACGCTCCCTTCCTTTGCTTCGAAATCTTGCCCAATGCACGCCCCTCTCATCTTTGTCTGTGCTTGGCCGTAGAGGACTGCGTTCCTCCTCACCACCCCCATCTTCTCCACGGTCTTGCTTGCGAGCAGACTCTCCAGATTCCATTGTTCCCATTGTTCCACGCGTGTTGTTAGGTACAAGTTCAACTTCTGTTTGTAACACCACTACTCCTCTTGTTGTGCATCACCGACGACATCCGCGACATCGTCACTTGTCCGGGGATCAACAACTTGTTTCTTTGTCTGCCCCGATTCTCTCTGTGCCTCCTCCACATGTTGTTGTGTTTCCTTTGTTTCAAACGGCAATATCCGATCCTATACCTCCTGCAGACAGTCCAGCTGCCTGCAGGCAGCCACCAGTCCTTACTCAGGATGCAGCCGCTGCCCTGAGTACACTCCCAACTCCAGGTACAGTCCCTACTCAGGATGCAGTCCTAAACGTCGAGGGATTGGAACATGATCTGCCCGGATTGCAGTTGACCACACAAGGCGTAGACCTCATGGGGGATCTGCAAATGGCTGACCAACATTGTTCGGATGAACCACAATTTTGTGCTCCGCCACACGCAGACCACATGGGTGATCTGCAAATGACTGGCCAGCAAACAACCCACCACAGTTTGGGCTTGCAACACCATCTGGGTGATCTGCAAATTGTTGGCCAGCATCCAACAAACCAGCCTGAGAACCTCACCAATCTCTGTGGTCTGACAGCAACTAATATCTGTCTTCACATTCTCCATTGCCCGTTTTATACACCATCAGACTTCCTTGCAATCGCCCTTCAGCTTGATGCTGATCTTCCCCATCGACAGCCAGAGGATTGTAATTATACCAGCGAAGGAGGCTTTACCATTGCCGTCCTACAAGTAGCAATGAGGGACCGTCAACTTGAGTTACGCAATGCTCGAGCAGGTGAGTGGTTTAATCCTCCATCCCA